AGATATAGTGACATTATGTGAAACTGAATTGTGTATTAGATTAAACTGAAATATGCATTACGTGAAACTGAAATGTACAGAAAATAAGTTATGACGTGGTGACATTTTTGTATCTTTTATTTTGCACATTTCAATTTCCTGTAATGCATATTTGAGTTGTACCTTTTATTCTGCACATTATAATTTCACTTAATGCACATTTCAGTTTCATCAAATGCACAATTGAACTTCACATAATCCAATCCAACGGCTCAGGTTCATTCTCATTTCTCTCCTGAGAGTCCTTTCTCACCAGAACCATCCCCTGTGTGTGTATTCATGATACGAATTTGGACGTTTAGTTGAATTACATCTTAGCATAGATAGAGTGTTTAAGGAAACTCGCACGGATGGCTGAGTTACCTTAGTGGTGAAAAAGTTGGAATATTAATCATGAATCGAAACTTGCAGCGGCTATGTGGATGTCGCAACTCCTATGTGCTAGACTGGAGCACTGGACAGTTTGGACCCCAGCCTGGGGACCTTGTGACTGCGTATTCAACTTTTTGAAACATAGGGTCTTTAGGAAACTTTAACTTCTTATTTGAATTTTTAAAACAATTCACACTTAACCTTTAATTATTTAAAACAGACCATAAATGGACTATATATTGATCAAGAAGTGTTCGGTGTTCCATAAAAGCACAAAATAATGTAACAAGAATGTTTTCTTTTAGGTTGTTTTCAGTCCCAGGCCAGATCGGACTAGACCAGATCAGACCAGACTTTCGTAGTTATAAAATACACAGAGACCAGACGTTTATCAAACCAGACCAGTTCAGACCAGAACAGATCAGACCAGACTAGGGATGTTTTCTTTTGGGCTGTTTTCAGTCCCAGACCAGACTAGACCAGATCAGACCAGACCATACTTAAACAGACCAGACCAGACTTGGATAGTTATAAAATACACAGAGACCAGACGTTTACCAGACCAGACCAGTTCAGACCAGACCAAATTTAAACAGACCAGACTAGATCAGACCAGACCAGACCAGCAAATTTCAGTCCAAAAGAAAACATTCAAAAGACCAGACTAGATCAGACCAGACCAGACTAGATCAGATCAGACCAGACCAGCAAATTTTAGTCCAAAAGAAAACATAGGGTCCAGGTGTGTAACATAGGGTCTTTGCACGTGGTGCATTGTGCTTGGTCCAGGTGTCCATACATTTAATGGTTCGAAATACAGTACTGCGTACTTACTCGGTAGAAGTTTTAAAAATAGAAATGACAAATGCAATATGTGGGTCCATCGGCACGAGATAGATGCCGGAAAGATCATGGAATCCACGAAGCACGCTATCACACAAACAAGCGAAATAATTGGTTAAAAAATGGTTTAAACTTTAAAGTAAACATCACCCCACACGTTATAACTCCTGCCAAACTTGAGAAGGTAATATCTAATACTCCGTATGTGTAATTTTTTTATCATAATGAGTAATTGTTATAACTTTTACATTTTAATTCAATTTTTATAAAAAATACGGAGTATAAAAAAATTAGTTTTTATAACATTTTATATGATACCAAATTTGTAGACAAAATTTTTGTTATATATTATTGATACCATTAGAAAAATCATAAAAAGTTATAAATCCGATATATATATATTTTATAGAAGTTGGATCGTAAATAAAAAAAATTATAGCAATTTAAATAAAAAAGGTAATATGATGCCAAATGGAAACAAGAGAGGATGAGGTGGTGTCCACCTTGCTTAGACCATCTGCATCCTTGCGCCGTCTAAGAACTTAAATATAGAATACGTCGATAAGAAAACAGTGTATAGATTCCATCAATACAGTTTTTCCCTGCATTTCATCACTATCAATAAAACACACTCTAAATATTTATGGACATATCAATTTAATAAAAACATTGAATAAGTTTGTATGAGTAATTTTTTTCTTTGGTTTTATTTGTGAAAAATTATAAATTAAAAATACATATCTGGATGTTAAAAAATAAAAAATTCATTAATTATTTTTCCTTTTTTCAGTTTCAATAAAAAATCAAATGTGTTCATAAAAAATTTGGTTATTTATTGAGGCATCGTAGATTAAAAATTTGTGTTTCGTATTTTTTTGGGTCTAAACAACTCTAGTGGGTGAAACTTCAAATATTTTTTAAAAACTTTGTGTATGCAATATTGGTTTCATGTGAAATATCATAACAAGATTATGAATTTTAATATTTTTGAGAAAAAAATGGACCACAAATATAAAAGAGGGGTTTTTTACGCAAGGATGATGTGAGCATGACATCACCCGCTTTGTAACCCCTCCGTGCAGTCGAGGCCGCATGGCTGACACCACATGACAAATCCATTTCCTTTTTAAAAATTCTAGTTTTACACAGAATTAGTACATAATTTGTACACAACCTCCCACTTGTCTGTGCACACAGACAATTCGTTTGAAAGTGACATGATTTTATGTCAATATGTCTATCTACATGGGCAGTGTACAATTTGTATACACATTTTGTATACGACAAGAATTACTCCTCTTTTTTTCCTTTTCTCTTTCCTATCAATACTCACTCTATTAATAAGAGCCCGTTTGGTAGCACGAAAATCGGCTGTTTTGGCTGTTTCTGCTGAAATTTATGAAGTTCTGGCTGAAGTGGCTGTTTTGGCTGATTCTGCTGATTCTAGAAAAAAATATTTTAAAAATATATTTTATTAATAAAATAAAGAAAAAATTACATGTAAAAATAGCTAAAATGGTCATCTACAGTAACTTCAGCCAATACAGCCAGAAAAGTAACTTCAACCTTACTTTTTCTGCTTATTACACAATTCAGCACGCGAAAGTAAAAATTACGTGTTTGGTGAAAAAGATGGCTGATAAGCCTGATAAGCCGAAAAAAGAAGTCTCCAAACGAGCTCTAAATGTCAATGTTCAATATATTAATAATAACCACCAGTCATCCCCTTTCCCCATTTTTAACACTCATTTTAATACTTTAGACCAAATTTACACTAAAGTTCAGGTCCTGTTATTCGATTTGTCAACCTTATTAGTTAATTTTATCATCTTATTAGTTAATTTTATTACCAAATATGTAACTTTTGAATTCGCGTGTTAAAATGTGTTATAGGAAAAATAAGTACAGTTGGAGTTACATTTTTGACCGAATTGGCTAAAGTTATTGCAGATGATTATTTTAACTATTTTTCGGATAAATTTTTCTTTATTTTATTGATAAAATATATTATAAATCTAATTTTTTCATAACTTATTAGAATCAGTCACTTTAGCTAAAACTTCATTAATTTCATCAAAATCAGTTGATTCAGCCAATTTCATTATTACGTAACGGGTTCTAAATAATACTCCTTCCATGTCATATAAAGGTTCTCACTTCCTTTTTGAATGTCTCATATAAAAGTTATCATTCTATTTTACAAAACAATTATCATTATTAAATAAATAATGATAACTTAATCATTAAATATTAAAAAGTATACACGTATAATATCAAAGTTATAGCCACTAACCCTATTACTCCGTATATAATATGCTTATGAAACTTTTTGTTAAAATATATTCAAATTCCTTTATTTAATTGTTGTCTAAATTAGCGTGTCTTTTGGCAACCGTTAAGCAATTAAGTACCTCCTCAGTACAATATAGTGATATACAAGACATCAAACTAAAAAAGTTAGACTTGAACACGTAGTATTAAAATTATTTGACTTTATCCCTTTTTTACTTGGACACGTTTAGAAAAATTATATTTGTATAAATTCAAATTTATAAATTAAAAAAAAACCAGCATAATCAGATAGTTACTTCAGTTCAAATTTAAGGGGAAAAAATCACATGAAAAATGAATTAATATACTTCGTATGTAGCAAACTAACCTGTTCACTAAGAAGTTGTTATTGCTCACTAAAGTTGTTTTCAATTGGACATAAATTTTCTAGTCTGGCATGTTATATCTAATCTGATCTGGTCTATTTAAGTTTGTGGTGGATAGATTTTGTCTCATTTAATCTGTGATTGAAACTATTCCTGTTAAAAACAATCTAATGAGCATGCTGATGTGATAAGTAGCTATGATTTATACAGAAATTTAGAGAATCATGATCATTTATCACGTCAAAAAAGTGTTCTATACATATTTTTCAAGAAAAATATAAGAATCAATAAAGGAAATGAAAATTTTTTAGAGTAGGAGTTCCATCCTAACTAAATCATATCTAGCATTTTATTATTTCTTTGTAATAATTCGATATGAGACAAGTACTTGTAATCACGGAATAAAAAATTGGTATGGATTTAGTGAGTAGATTCACTAAATTTAAGATACATTAAGCATTCCTCTCAAACTATGTACTTTGCTCGGCACCTTAGAAAATGTAAGATGATATAGGACTAAATTTACCAGTTGGGTTTGGTATGAGTGTATGACCTCATCAGGTTAGGTTTATTCGAGTCATGTTCCCTTTGCTCTAAATTGATCTGTTTTTATTTAGTTGAAGTTAATATTATGTGTACCTTATCCTTATCTTACTATTATACATTTATATGTCTCATCTGATGTGTTTGATTGAGTTCTAATTTGCTTTGTTTAAGTGTGGTAGAATTGAACTAATCTTTTCCCCTTGTTTTTTATCCTTTTATCCTTATATATATAAACATTATTTTATCCTTTTTATTTTATCATTTTTTAGGTATATTAATCTCTTTTTATATTATCTTTTTCATAATAGCTTATCTTTTGTTATCTTTATTTTCTTTCTTTTCCTTTTGGTGGTGATATCATGTATCGATTCATGATAGCTGACCCCAATATCTTTTGGGACTAAGGCTTGGATGTTGTTGTTGTTGTTGCGAACTCATAGCTTCTTAATCATCAATCAAGAGTGAAATGATAAATCGATGCCGAAAATGACTTGAACTTTAGGAGTAAATATAGAAATTGGACTAACACTGCTTGTCTTGCAGCCTGTATGTAACGTGGATGGTCTAAAGTCTGATGATGTAAGCCCCCGTTTGGTATATCATTATGGAATTCCACAAGGATCTCTTCAGTTGTCATATGACTCCATTCAGAATATACTTGCTATATCAACCAAGTGAGTGTTTGTCTTCATTATCTACTTTTATTTTTGGGTTTGTGAAATGAGTATTGCAATAAAAGTGTGGTGATGTTGCAGAGATGGCAGAATCAAGGTGTTTGGGAGAGATGGTGCCCAAGCTCTACTTGAATCTCCTAACATGGTATCAAGTAAATTCTTGCAGGTAGTTTTTCTTAAACCAAATTGCTGCAGGTCGTTGTTTAATCCAAAATGGAGTAACAAATGATTTTAGAATGCATGATTTGAATGAAGGATTTCAGAGAGGTTTGGAGAGGAAGACTTTGGGGGCTTAGTCTTTATATTGTAAATACAATGTTTTCAAAATTTATAACCTTTCAAATATAGGATGTGTGCCCCAAATCCTTTCCCTTTAAAACTTTCCATTCCAATCGACTTCAAATATAGAATGTGTGCCCCAAAGCTTTTCCCTTTAAAACTTTCCATACTAACAGACACTATAAGGGCTTTATGTTAGATGTTTCCTTTTGAAAATAAATTTTACTGGTCTTTCCTTCCCATCACAGACTCAAAGTTGATTAATTGATATCATTGGCACATAGCATTGCTGAGTGCTGACAAATTAGGTAACTGGTTTTCTTGTCTTGCAGTTTATGGAAAACCAAGGCTTCCTCATTAAGTTAAATGCTGATAACCACATCGAGGCAAGTCATTGACTAGAATCCTATTGTCCTAGTTCTTCTTTTGTAAAGCTCTGATAAAATGAACAAGTAAAAAGTAGGGTGTTTCCCTCTAATATTGCTAAAATAATAATCCGTACTACGTGAATGTGACTAATTTTTATTATTATAGAAAAGTCGCTATACATCACTTTTAACATGTCACCGCTAGTAACTTTAATATGTGAGTGGCAAACTGTCAATGTTAGTGTAGTAGTACACACCGTCTCATATATCACCATCTCGGGTAGCTGCATATTGCGGTGACCTTTCCGTATTGACTTATTGGCGGATGGGCAGAGTGTGAAGGGAGAGGAAATCCCAATAGATCTAGAGTTTTGAGATTATTTAGTCCACTTTTAGGATAAGAAAATATTGATATTTTTGTCATCACAAGCTCTCTTTCTAAAAAAGATGATCATGTTTAGGTATGGGATGTAGATCAGAGGAACTTGTCAAATGTTCATGACTTAAAGAGGAATATCACATCTCTTACAGTTGTCCAGCATACTCCTTATATGTGAGTTTTATGTTTTCCTACACTAGCCATTGGCATAATGGCATGTTTGATTTATTTGCTTGCGCTTTGACAGGTATGTTGGAGATTCACTAGGTCATGTTTGGGTTTTGAAGCTAGAAAAAGAACCCTGCAATGTAGTGCAAATGAAATATCATATACCCTTTTCAGCATCTCATGGTGAGACCAAGATCCCATCTCATAATTCACAGCTTTACTGCTTTTTATGTTAAATCAACAAAAATAAAATAAAAAACAATTCAAATAATGAATTATTGAATATGGGGTATATAAAACACACATTACTAGTACCTGCAATTCAAATAATGAATTAATTGAATGACTTTTCTCTACTGGAAATTTTGTACTCCGTAATGTCTGATAGTTAAGGTCAGTGCTGGGTTGCTATCTGACCATTATGCATTCCTTCTGTAGGGAACACAAATCAAGTTGGGGACAATGCTGTAGTTGAAATCCTTCCCCAACCTACAGCAGAAAGTAAAAGGTAGTCTTTCAAACATGCTTTTCCATTATTTCAAATGAAAGGTGGAAAAATGAGATTTTTTAAAGTGGCATCTCGAGTGCTGAATTTCTCCCAAGTATAAGTGATGCTTTATCTTGATGCAGGATTGTTATTATTTATCAAGAAGGTTTGATTGTATTGTGGGCAGTTCAGGAAAGCAAAGTCATATTTACAACTGGAGGAACTGCAATGCAATCAGTAAGTTATGAGGCAAAAAAGGCAACAGCTGCATGTTGGGCTTGTCCAAATGGAACTAAATTAGTTGTTGGATACAGCAATGGAGATTTATTTGTCTGGAGCATTCCTGCATCATCAAATATTAAAATGGAACATGAATCTAGCAAAGACGCTTCTTTTGCCTCTTCAAATCCTCCTATTTGTAAACTAAATATTGGATATAAATTAGACAAGATCCCTATAGCCAAGTTAAGGTGGATTTATGCAGATGGTAAAGCAAGTCGATTGTACGTTATGGGTCTCTGTGATAATCAGACAGTGAACTCGTCACAAGTGAGTCTCACTCTCACCATTTTCAGTTAGATCACATTACCTTGAGGGATGCATTATCCTAAGTTAGAAAACATAGCCTTCTGTTACATTGCTAGTTGCCTTAAAGTTCATCCAGTAACATCCAAAACATTTTTATCCTCAGTTTTTAGCATTACTGGCTAATATGGTGTTTGTAAGTCTTAAGATGGCATTGTGGCATAACAAGCTCAAACAAGCATGTTGATCATGTTATGTCTAAAAATGAGCACACGGATCGGTCTGCTGGGACATAGTAAGCCAAATCTCATGTCTCAATAAATACTCCCTCAATAACATTCTTGCCAAATTTGATCGGGCAAGAATGTTAAGAAAGTGAAATTTGTGTCATTGAAATTTATCCTGTCAATATCAGGAACCACATCATGCTTTCCCTAAAGAGAAGGATGATGATTTTGGGACAGAGTAAAAAGACAATTGTGGTTTATTTTGGGAGTCAGGGGGTATCATATTTGGAATTTAGGTGAATTTTTATTTTTTACATATACGTAATATGCTATATCTGTAGGTAGTTTTACTTAATGAGCAAACGGAATCACGCACAATTAAGATGACACTTCATCCTCCAGAGTCGTGTATTGACATGGAGATTATTTCAAGCCATAAAGCACCAAGCAAGACAAAAACTGATGCATTCCTTCTACTAGGGAAGTCCGGCGTTGTTTATGCATATGATGATTATTCAATAGAAAGGTACTTATTGCAATGTCAGAACAGATCTTCGCCTTCGCTCCCAAAGGAAATATTGGTGAAGTTGCCATTTGTTGATTCTAACATCACCATTTCAAAACTCATAACAGATAGCCCTTTTATGTTATGGTCAGGGAATCAGGTACGTGGTTTATCATCTTTGACTTTGTCATATATAATAATGTTTGGGGATAAGAGTCAGTTTGGTCCTCGAAGTTGCAAAAAAGGGGTCAAATAAGTCCTTATAAAGAAGATTCTGTCCGGACGTGCCATTTGAGGTGGCTTCCAGTGGAATTTGTTGATGAAATTTTTTGACCATCTTATTCATTAAGTCTAGTTTACTCATACCAAATTTCAGATAAAAATTCAATCGGGAAGACATTCAAATGATTTCTTGAAGATAACTGTGCCGTTATAAGCGCAATTATCTTCAAGAATTCATTTGAATGTCTTCCCGATTGAATTTTTAGCTTAAATTTGGTATGAGTAAACTAGATTTAATGAATAAGATGCTCAAAAAAATTTATCAAACAAAACCACCGGGAGCCACCTCAAATGGCACGTCCGGACAGAATCTTCTATATAAGGACTTATTTGACCCCTTTTTTGCAACTTCGAGGATCAAACTGACGCTTTACTCATAATGTTTGCAATGTCCGTGCAAAACTATAGTACCATGTTTCCTTTGTAATGCAGGACTATACTTCTCATGCAAAAGATATATTTCCACTTTTCCCATTTGAGAGGAGGCAAAAAGATGGAACTGTATCTAACTCAGCCCATTGTGTTGAGTTTTCAAAGGCTAAGAACTTATTCATAACGGGCCATAGTAGTGGAGCCATAAATTTTTGGGATGTCTCTTGCCCACTCTTGCTTCCAATTGTATCACTAACTCAGCAGGTTATACATCATCATGTAAACTTTTGGTACACCACTTTACCGTAGTCAGGAGCTCTAAAAAATTCGAATTTTGATTAACCAAAATAACAATTCATTCATATAACTTTTTATAATAAAAATTAGTACTTGAAATAATTGCCACATACATCTATGTTCACCCAGACTTTACTGCAGCTGCATAAAATTTGAGATTTTGCCATTTTGGTGTGGTTTAGTTCAAAAGTTATTTCCTTTCATTTGGTGTACTTACAAATAGTATAATATCTGGTGGGAAGATTCAATAAGTGGTACTCTGTATAAGACACTCAGATAACAATGAAGTTAAAATAAATAAATAAAAGTTAGTGCTTATTATTTTACTTTTTCCAAGTTAGCCTGATGCAATGTGATATTAACTGTGCAGACTGAAGACAACTTTTCGTTAAGTGGTGTACCTGTGACAGCGTTGTGCCTTGTCTTTGACTTACATATCCTTATTACTGGTGATCAAAGTGGAACGGTGAAGCTCTTATTTGTTGGATAATAATATGCAAGTAGATCTTATAATATGCAAGTAGATCTTAATGCACTGAAGCTTACTTGTAACACAAATATGTTTATTTGCAGGTTCGTATTTATAAATTTAAAACTGAGGTTTTGACCCCAGACAACAGCTTTTTGCCGTTCCAAGGTATGATGCATAGATATGAATCATCCTTATTGTGTTACTAATATACCCTTCCTGTGTATCCGACTAGAAGAAGAAATTATAAATCCATGTCACGACCTTGATTTAGAAATCTGTAGAACATATGTTTCCTCTATATAAATGTTTCAAAACCTTGCTCGTGACTAAACTTTGATTGTATTATAGGTTTAAAGAAAGGAGGCAATCAAATCATCCGAAGTCTTAAGCTTTTGAAGGTCAACGGGGCCGTACTTTCTATTAGTGTGAGCCCTAATTTGAAGAGCTTTTGTGTTGGATCTAATCAAGGATATGTAAGGCTTCTTTCTTAATTTTATCATTTTATTTTTCTCATTATTAGTGAATCTTGCTTCTTGTTGTTGATTAATCTTTTGAGTTTATAGGCCAAAGAATATCAGAGGTAGAACCCTTAATGATTACAATAATAGTACAATCCGACATCAGAAAAATATTAATATACAAATCAATTGGTAAAGATTTGGGCTATGCCTCCTTGCAGTTTGACATATTAAGATAAAACTTTAAGTTTCAAAATGCTATTAAGATTAAACAAGCAATATGTATCCTCTGCATTTTACTCTTTGTAGGAAGTGTGGCAGTAACAAAGCTATATTGTTCTTTTGACATCCTCATTGACTGCCTTGCCAGGCTTGCTTAGTTTTGCATTTTTCTGTTAAATTAATGTAAGTTTAACTTGTATTTCAATCGGTTTTACATAAAGGTGTCACATTTTGACTTGGAGAGCCTCAGTGTATTATATGAAAGGCAGATACCAAGTGAGCTGTGTACAGGCATCATCTCTTCACAGTTTGACACGTGCAACCTCCATGGTTTCGAGAAGAATGTTCTAGTACTGGCTACAAGAGATTCTTCTGTGGTGGCACTTGATGGTGAGACAGGGAATATATTAAGTCATAGCATGGTTCATCCTAAAAAACCATCCAGAGCATTGTTTATGCAAATTTTGGGTAATATATTTAAGAGTATATTAAAAGTTAATTACGTTCTTAGACATAAGGTTATTATAAGTATTAAGAGATTTCTTCTTATTAAGAGATTTCTTCTCTCCTTGTTGTCCTTTATAGGTTCTTCATCTAGCATGTCAGGTAGCATGGACTCTAATGCCTCAAGAGTACCATTAGTTTTGCTTTGTTCTGAAAAGGCTGTTTATGTGTATTCCTTGGTCCATGCAGTTCAGGTAATCTGGCATTTTAATGGTATACTCCTTCCGTTCTAAATTACTTGTCCATAAAAGGGGAAAATTGGGATCATAAGGTGGTAAACTAATTTTTCAAAAACTTACTAGCATGCCCCTATTAAATTTTAGGTATTAAAAGTAAAAATCTTAAGTGAAATAAATATGTGAAGGAAACTTGTCATTTATAATGATGTACTTCATTGTTAATGGGCGGTTGATTGAGAACAAAGAGAGTTGTTTATAAGTTTAAACATGAATCAAGCGCATATGCAGGGAGTTAAAAGAGTACAATACAAAAAGAAGTTTCATTCATCTTCTTGTTGCTGGGCATCCACTTTCGAGTCTCCCCAAGGAGGTGTTATTCTTCTCTTTTCAAATGGGAAAGTTGAAATAAGGTAATATTTTCCCTTTCAATGGCTATCAACAGAGAAAATTATACACTTGCATGTACAGCAAAAAAAATTACTGTGTTGTGAAAAACATCAGATCCCTTCCAGAGCTGTCCCTTTTAAAAGAAACTTCAATTAGAGGGCTCACAGTTTCTACTTCAAAAGCAAACTCTATTTCAGACACTTCTATATGCTCTTCTCGAACTGGTGAACTCATACTGGTACATCAGACCAACTTACATTGATTCTTTTTTCAATAATATTGTAACTTTTAAGTGAAATAAAGCTAACAGGAATTGTGGAAATTTATTGTTCTAAGGTTGACAGGGATCAGGAAATGTTTTTCTTCACGGTTTCAGCCCTAAAAGATTCCTACAGGTATTGGACCTAGAACTGGACATGTGATTTCTTATATAGCCCGCTAGAGAGCACTTGCCAAAACACCATCCTCAAGTTCATATTTCTTGTTTTCTTTAAATAATCATAAAATAGGTTTCATAGTAATTGCAGTCTCACTGCATTGGACTTTTCATCTTCCTCTATAGGTTTCTAGAACCAGCATCTCAAGTTTACAATAGAGATGTATTGGTTGAACAGGGGCCTGTTTCAGCACCAATCATTCCCAAGGAAAAGAAAAGGGTTTAGTTTTATTTTTAACTTTTTTTAAAGAATGCATGATTTTGTGGTACACATAAACAAAATGCTTATTGCTATTTATGAATATAGGGTATATTTGGCTCTGTGATTAAAGGAAACAAAGGAAAGAATGTGTCTGAACAAGCAGCTGAAGATCCACAAGAAAGTATCGAGGAGTTGTCAACAATCTTTTCAGTTTTCAACTTTCCATTAGACACCGAGGACGGAGAAGAGTTAAACATGAATGAAGATGATGGTGATGATGATAGTTTGGATATAGGTATTTCACATATTCCATATGTATCCTCTCAGTATGATGATTCACTTTTTATATCTTGAAAAATTTCACATGGCAATTCGCTGAGATAACTGTTATCATGTCTCATTACAAACTATATTGGAATTGTTAATAAACCACAACCTCAAAAACTTTATTTTTCTTAGCAATTGAAAATTCATTTCTTTGTGCACATCTTGTTGCGAATAGGGGGAAATTTGGTAAGGTCTGCCTTTCTGAAATGGCTGGATCACCTTAATTTTCTGATAGAAAAATGTTCACCTACACCTTTTTCAACCAAATAACCAACTCAGAATCTACTTAATCTGTTTATCCTTCTGCAATCAGAATAAATAAGCTGATTGGTTCTGCCACATTCGGAACCTATAGTCATAGAAGTGCTGACGAGAAACCTTTCATTTTTTTATGCAGATGACATTGACATTGAAGATCCTGTAGTAAAACCTAAAGGAAAACCGAAGGTTGCAACAATAAACAAACAGAACCTTTCAAATTCATTTGAAGCATTTCGAGGTTACTTCTCAACTTTCATTAACAATCAACAGGTGTTGTAGGGACCTTTCATGAATATATGCTTAATTTTTTTGTAATCTTCATTCTTCAGGGAAATTTAAGCACAAGAAGGTAAAAAGTGACAAGCTTCAAGTTATTACTGAAGCGCCACTGCAAGGGGATAATTCTGGTGCTATTGATCAAATAAAGAAGAAATATGGATACACTTCTTCTGTAAGCAAGAAGAATTCTTCTTCCTTTCTATAGATTACTAGTAATCATTTTCCATTTCTTAACAACCGCTGAATGTTCCATACCATAATAATGCAGGAACATAATGTTGCAGAAGCAGCAAAGTCAAAGCTCAGTGAAAATTTGAGAAAAATGCAGGTGCCCTAATATGCCAAACTTCTTTAAAAACCATTCATATGCTATTTAGTACTCCTTCCATCCCCAAAAGGAGTCTTGGTTTGGGTAAGACTGTTAGAGACTCAATGCAGCCGAACAAGGAAGACAAATATTATGGAAGAGTCTATTCTAGAAGGAGGGAGAGGGGTAGTTATTAGTTATGTTTTGTTATTAGCTAATAACCGTAAGTGGTTGTTCACTTACTATAAATAGAATTGACTGGGGGATTTCCCAGTAGGCTGTTAGACTGTTTAGTCAGAACTGGGAAGATAGAGTTTTAGCTCTATACTTTGGGGGCTTCGGCCATTGTAGCTATATACATTCTCAATAAAATTGTGGAGTTCTTGTAATCTTGTTGGTGTTATTGCTGTGCATCTCTAGTGTTTCTTACAGTGGTATCAGAGCACGACGATCTCTGGATGAGATATACTCGTGCTAAGATGGACGGAAGAATGACAGACATGGAGAGAAACTTTACTGATATGGCCAGGAATCAGAGAGAATCAGCGGCAAGGCAAGATACACTGGAGACGATGATGGTAGCTATGCAGGCGAGTCTCGCGGATATCCAAAGTCGCCTTCCAGGTCGTGCGCGAAGTAGGTCGCAGGCCTCCTCAGCTTCGCATCGCACTTCTCACCGTCATCGATCACGCCATTCAGAGAATGATGACGTATCGGAGGGAGACTCAGATCATTCATCACACCGTAATCACAGACATCACAGGGAACACCATCCTCGTCGCCGAACAGGAAGGAAGATCGATTTGCCATTGTTTAATGGAGATGATGCCTACGGTTGGTTGGTTAGAATCGACAGATATTTTCGTCTCAATCAGATTGAGGAAGACGAGAAGTTGGATGTTGCGGTGGTTGCTATGGAAGACCGCGCACTGAGTTGGTTTCAGTGGTGGGAGAATCAGACGAGAGAAAGGAATTGGGACGCTATGCAGGAAGCTCTAACGCGAAGATTCCAACCAGAGTTGGTACGTAATCCGTTGGGACCTCTATTAGGTCTAAAGCAAAAGGGAACTGTGAAGGAGTTCCGAGAACAATTTGAGATGGCTATAGCATCTCAAGGCGATCTAAGCGAGAAGGTTACAAGAGGTATTTTCTTAAATGGCTTGAAGAAGGACATTAGAGCTGAATTGAAGCTTTACAGTACAAGAGATTTGGCAGAAATCATGGATACAGCTCTATTGATTGAGAATAAGAATTTTGAAATACTGTCTAGGAGAAATAAGGAAGAAGGGAAGAAGGTGTGGAAGAGCAGCAACGCTGGGAAACAAGGTTACAATCATTGGGGAGATGGCAGTAGAAAAACTTACAACCAGGCCTCTACCAATCCATCAGTGAAGGATTCAGTTGATAATAGGAGGCAGGAGGAGGGATCTAATTCTATTTCTAAGAAATTAGGTCCTAGATTGTCACAGAATGAGTTGTTGGAAAGGAGTAAAAAGGGACTTTGTTTTAAATGTGGGGACAGATGGAACCGAGGCCATGTTTGCAGTATGAAAAGCTTTAAAATGATGTTGGTTGAACAATCTGAAGGGGAAGTAGAATCTGACATGACTTCTAGTGATGAAGGAGAGGATGAAGAAACAAAAATGGAAGCTAAAACACTGAAATTATCTGTCCTGAGTCAGGAAGGGATCCCATCCATGAAAACTTTCAAGGTTCTGGGTAACATCAGATGGGGAAATCATCAGCAACAAGTGAATATTCTGATTGATTGTGGGGCTACTCACAATTTCATCTCTCAAAGATTGGTGAACACATGGCAGATACCTTATAGGTGTATTAAAGGCTACAAGGTGCAGATAGGGAATGGGGAATTTCTTCCCAACAATGGCAGATGTGAAGAGGTAGCTTTGGAGATACAAGGCAACCAGATTGTACAGCAATTCTACATTTTGGACTTGGGTGGAATAGATTTGGTGTTGGGAATGGAGTGGTTAACAGATCTTGGGGATATGGAAGTCAACTTCCAGAATCAAATTCTTAAATGGAGAAGACAGGACCAGGTGTATACTATCAAGGGAGATATAGCCCTGAATCAGATGGAAGTTTCATTGAAGTCTATCACTCACATTTTGCAGAATACAGGAGATGGCTACTTGTTGCTTTGTGAAGGTAAAGAGCAGAATTCTCAGTCCAATCTAGAGGAGGATGAAACCTGGAACAATATAATTGGTGAGTTTCCTGAAGTCTTCAAATCAGTGTGGGATTTACCTCCAGAAAGACCATGTGACCATGCCATAAATATTATAGAGGGAGCCAGTATACCTAATCTGCGGCCATACAGGTATACTTATGATCAAAAAAATGAAATTGAAAAGATTATACAAGAAATGCTTTCTTCTGGGATTATCAAACACAGTAACAGCCCTTACAGCAGCCCCATACTATTGGCCAAGAAAAAAGATGGTGGGTGGAGATTTTGTGGTGATTATCGAGCATTAAATAAGGTGACTATTCCAGATAAGTTTCCTATACCAGTTATAGAAGAACTTTTAGATGAGTTAGGAGGAGCTAAAGTGTTCTCAAAACTGGATTTGAAATCAGGATATCATCAGATAAGAATGAAGAAAACTGATGCCCATAAAACAGCCTTTCGAACACATGAGGGACATTATGAGTATGTTGTAATGCCTTTTGGGCTAACGAATGCTCCCTCAACTTTTCAAGCATTGATGAATGAAGTTCTTAGACCTTTCTTAAGAAAATTTACTTTAGTTTTCTTTGATGACATTTTGGTTTATAGTAAATCAAAAGAGGATCATATAGAGCATCTAAGAAAAGTGTTGACAGCCTTACAAGAAAATAAATTGGTAGCCAATCGGAAGAAATGTTCTTTTGGCCAGAGTCAATTGTCATATTTGGGTCATATAATTTCTGGAGAAGGAGTATCTGCTGACCCAAGTAAGATAGAGGCTATGGTGAGCTGGACAGAACCTCAAGATATCAAAGGGTTGAGAGGATTTCTGGGTTTGACTGGTTATTATAGACGGTTTGTAAAGGGGTATAGCAGAATTGCAGCTCCTTTGACCAATCTGTTGAAGAAGGATAGTTACAAGTGGGGAACTGAGGCTAGCAAAGCTTTTATCCAGTTAAAAGAAGCTATGACTACATTACCTGTTCTTGCAACTCCAGATTTTACCAAGAAGTTCATCATTGAAACTGATGCTTCAGGAAAAGGGTTAGGGGCTGTACTCATGCAAGAAGGAAGGCCCATTGCCTTCATGAGTAAGGAACTTTCTCCTAAGCATCACAGTAAATCCGTGTATGAAAAAGAGCTTATGGCTGTGGTTTTGGCTGTACAAAAATGGAGACCCTACCTTTTGGGAAGAACATTTGAAGTGCATTCAGATCAGAGAAGCTTAAAATACTTGACTGAGCAGAAGATTATGGGACCTGAGCAACAGAAATGGATCACTAAGCTATTGGGGTACAATTTTGATATCAAATACAAACCTGGTGCGGAAAATAAAGCAGCTGATGCTCTGTCTAGAAAGCCTGCTTTTTTATCATTATCAGTAGTATCATGTCAGGAGTGGACTGGTTTGGAAGAAGAACTGTTGGAGGATTTAAGATGTAAGGAAATTCTACAGAAGCTTACATCTCAGCCAGATTTGATGAAGGATTATCAGATAAAAGGAGGGATCCTCTTTTATAAAGGGAAGCTGGTTTTGCCTAAAGGGTCTAACAGAATACCCAGAATCCTCAAGGAATACCATGAAACTGCCTTTGGAGGACACTCAGGGTATTTTAGAACTATGAAAAGGATCTCCAGTCTATTCTATTGGGCAGGTATGAGAAATGACATAAAAGACTATGTGCAGGGGTGTGATACTTGCCAAAGAAACAAACATCAAACATTGAAACCTGCAGGTTTGCTGCATCCCCTACCCATTCCAGAACATATATGGTCGGATATTAGTATGGATTTTATTGGGGGCTTACCTAAATCCATGGGGAAGGATACCATTTTGGTAGTGGTTGATAGGATGACAAAATTTGCACATTTCTTGCCTTTAACTCATCCTTATAATGCAAAAGGGGTTGCTGAAATCTTTATACAGGAGGTGGTAAAGATACATGGATTCCCTAAATCCATTGTGAGTGACCGGGATAGTCTATTCTTATCTGCCTTTTGGTCTGAATTGTTTAAATCAGCTGGTACTACACTGAAGTATAGCACTGCTTACCACCCTCAAAGTGATGGGCAAACGGAGGTGGTCAATAAGTGTTTGGAGACCTATCTAAGATGTATGACTGGCAGAAAACCAAGACAGTGGGTGAAGTGGTTACCTTGGGCAGAATTCTGGTATAACACTAACTATCATATATCCTTGAAACACACACCATATCAAGCCTTATTTGGTCAAGAACCTCCCACAATAATCAGAGGAGATGTGAGTCTGACTTCTGTGGCTGAGGTATCCAGACTGACTGCAGAAAGGAATGTTATGTTAAAGGAATTGAAGGATCATTTGGCCCAAGCACAAAATAGAATGAAGCAACAGGCAGACAAAAATAGAAGGGAATTGGAGTTAAAAGTGGGGGATAAGGTCTTTTTGAAGATACAACCTTATAAAATGAAAAGTTTGGCCAAAAGGATTAACCAGAAATTAAGCCCCAGATTTTATGGCCCCTATGAGATCATAGAGAAAATAAATGTTGTAGCCTTTAAACTAAAACTGCCAGAAGAAAGCCAGATTCACCCAGTCTTTCACATCTCTTTACTGAAGAAAGTATTACATCCTACAGCTTCCTACCAGGATCTTCCCAAATGTTTAACTGAAGAAGGAGAATTGATGGTGGTCCCTGAGAGGGTGAAGGAAGTCAGGTTCAATCAGAATGGGGAAAAGGAGGTCTTGGTGCACTGGAAAGACCTCCCTGAATATGAAGATTCTTGGGAAAAAGAGCAGGTGATCAGAGAACAATTTCCTACCTTCCAACTTGAGGGCAAGTTGGATTTTCAAAGGGGGAGTTATGTTAGAGACTCAATGCAGCCGAACAAGGAAGACAAATATTATGGAAGAGTCTATTCTAGAAGGAGGGAGAGGGGTAGTTATTAGTTATGTTTTGTTATTAGCTAATAACCGTAAGTGGTTGTTCACTTACTATAAATAGAATTGACTGGGGGATTTCCCAGTAGGCTGTTAGACTGTTTAGTCAGAACTGGGAAGATAGAGTTTTAGCTCTATACTTTGGGGGCTTCGGCCATTGTAGCTATATACATTCTCAATAAAACTGTGGAGTTCTTGTAATCTTGTTGGTGTTATTGCTGTGCATCTCTAGTGTTTCTTACAAAGACACGGCTTTTTGGGGGCATCTGGTTCGCGTAATATTAGATTGTGTAGTAACATGACAGGAAGGTAATGTGTGATTATGAGAATGTAAGATTGCTTAGGTAATAACCAAGAGAATTTGAGATTACAAGAATATGACATAAATGGTGCTATGGTTTAGATAATAAAAATGTAATATTAATCGTTTTAAAACAAAAATTGCATTAATACATTATTCAAAGATAGTAGACCATTGCCATGGAAAGGATGGAGTATGTGTAACTACTTAGTTTTTTCTACTTCACTGTCTTGATTTTTGTTTAACCTTTTTGGGGAGGCAGGGCATAAACCTTAGGACAAACGAGATGCAGGAGACGGCTAAATCGTTTTCTGCAATGGCAAAGGAGATGCTGCGATATGCTGGAAATGAAAAGGGAGGAAGTTAATATTATCATTAATTAACACAATGTCAACCATACCAGTATTTCAGATATTCTTTCTGCATTGTATTGATCTGATATTTATTTTGATTTAATTTCTTTCAGTAGAAGCAATGTACATAACCACATATGTATATATGCATATGTAACTTTTGTGGTTTTAGAAATATATCACTGATTTTTAGCATTTATTTACAGGAACTGTACGTATGAATTCATATGAACAACACAATATTTAGGTTTGAATAATATACACACAATGTAAATTCAGAACTTGTTGAATTATGGAGAACCAATTGGCCAGGTTTTCGTTAGATATGAGAGATTGACGCAAAATAAAAAAAAAGTCTGCATGATAATTAGGGCGAAATACCAATACTCCAATAGCCATAGAATATATAATTGGTGAAATGATCAATATGAACACCTCAAAGGCTCAAACTATATATAATAATGTAATATTTAGGGATTACTTTGTAATATTCAATAACTCAGTTTTATTAAAATATAAGGCTAAGGCACCCAATAGGGTAAGCCATTATGCAATTTGTATACTAATAGGTCTTTTTTTTACTAATAGGTTTATTTATAACTTCATAGAGAGAATGAAATTGACTGTTTTTTCTTTTGGGGTGTACCCAGTTTCAATTTCAAATTGGACCGAAATGCCGGAGATTTAACCACCAAGAGTCAAGACCATGGATAAATTTTGTCCAAAACAAAAGACCATGGATAAATTATTCGAGGCTATAGGATGAATCGGTAAGTGTAAATATCAAATAAACTTTCATGATATAATCAATTCTCCAGATGTTCCCTCATTCAAAGAACTGAACTCTCAGTTGTGTAGATGAGCCGGGGGAAGCACCCATTTCTCAACTTTTGAGGTTATTGTCAGGTTTCAAAGATTTTTTTCGTAATACCAAAAATTATATTAAATCAGCAAATCATTCGCCACTTGGGCACTTGGCTGACAATATAATCAGAGATAAAAGAGGAAACAAAACGACAAAAATGTATATGTCTGTTGTCCACCCTTGAATCAGACTTAAAATTCATCACCTCCGTAGAAACAATAAGATTTGATGATCTTGCAATGAGATTAACTGAGCAGATGACAGGCAAACCAGACTTCTCATCACCTGACTTAAATTCAAGAATCTTTCTTCTAGGAAATAAGAACACGCCTAAAACAATATGCACTTCAAAAGAAAAAAACAAACAAAACAAAACGGAATTAAACCAGAATTCACTCATCTTCTTCCAAACCCTAGACTCTCTTGCACTCCAAGGCGGCGGCTCAGGAGGGGGTGTGCCCTCGGAAATGACTGCTCCATGCGGTCTGCAAGGTCTTCATCGAACACCAGTTCGTCATCCCCAATCATGATCTCCCAACCGTCGCACTGTCCGATCAACTTTTCCAAACTATCTTGCGTCGGGTTTACCTCATCCCCATCCAGCCGCGACTCGCCTGCCCTGGCCTTGTTCGCGATCTCCGCCATATAGGCACTGCGGGGTTGAAGAAGAAGAAATCCGCACAAAAATGGCACAAAATGGCGGAAGAAAAACCCTAGATAGGGACACGACCGCGCTCTAGTACGCTACACTATCATGTTTCAAAGTTAAGTAAGAGTATGTTGGTGAATGGTAACACGTTCTCAAAAATGTAATGATCATAATAAATAAGGTTGAAGTTACGTTTCTTTGTTGAAATTGCTTAAGTAAACATATTTCACTATTTTTCATATAATATTTTCTTTATTTTATTAATCAAATACTTCGTATATTTAAAAAAAACTCATAACTAGCACATTCAACCGTTACAGAAAAAGTCTCACCAATTTCAACATATTCAACCGGTTTAGTAATTCGAGAATTATCAAATAGGCTCTAATTCTACATAGTTATGCACTTATGTTATTGAGTGTGTTTGAAAAATGGTGTTTCAAATACAAATGGCGGTTTGACCCCTTTTAGTGCTTTCAATAAGTGAAAATATTGCTTGTTAAATGGCTATTTGGTCCTGGCGTTTTTGGACGGAACTAATGAAATAGAACCCCTACAAATACGACAATATTGGGTTAGCGTTTTGAAATATGACGTTTCCTACTAATTGTTATGGCCAAACAGCTAAATCACAAAAAATCTTCTGATAATCCGTCAACTTATTCCGCTAGTCAAACACGTTAATTAATCCACTATTGACAATCTGCTAATATAATCCACTATACATTAACTTTAACCACTAAATGTCAAGCGCCCATTATTTGTTAACTTGCTATGTCAAAACATAGTACTAGGTATAGATATCTAGCTCTTTATTTTCTTACCTTTTCCTTTCCTAAAAAAAGGATGACACCCCATCCCTGAGGGCCCCCCAACACCGACCGGACGGCACGATGTGAGGATATAAATTGGACTATAATCACAATCTGACAGATAGAGAGTGGGACTCTGTTCCTGGTACTTGCAGAAGTCCTATGCATTTTTCAGCATAGTAACCCCTCATCGCAGTTGCCGGGATTCGAACCCGACACCTAACCCTTGTGGCACTCCCTCGCTACCAGTTGAGCTACGCCCACCGGTAAAAAACTAAGGTATGAGTAAACTTTTTATAGTGACTAGCTCCACCGCTTTCACGGCCCCTTACCCCAGAAACCCAACTTTGGCTTGGCCCTACGGGTTAGTATACACCGCTTGGCCCTACCACTTGAAGGGTTTTTTAGGGGAGCATAGTTCCACTGGTGCTAGTGGGACTCAAACATGAGACCTCTCCTATGCAAGGATAACCTCACAACCAACTAGGCTGGAAGTGATGGTTTACCTTTTCCTTTCCTATTTTATCTCTCTAGTATCAACTCAATTGCTCGTCACCTTCATCGCCTACTTGTCTTTAGCTCTGCCATCCAAGTCCAGATATAGTGGGTAAAAATAAGTCTCAATCTTGTACCTTTTGTAGAATTCAAAAACTCTCTAAAAGCAATTAATTGTATTATTGGCACAACAAGTTTTAAGAACGATGTACGAAGACCCGTTATATTGGAATGTGCTAGTTGTTTACAAAATGGTGGTAATAAAGATAGAGGTAGGTCACAGAGTGGAGGATAAAAAATATGACTCATGCTTTCCGATTGGCTGTTTTTGTATTAATTGCAACTTCATTATCTTATTCATTAGTATCTAAATTTTTACAAATGAAAGGAAATGGGAAATTTAAGGATCTTATACAACAGGTTATTATATTTAACAAAACTAAATTAAATTGTGACTTTTAGAATTAATTAGATACAACAGGTTATTATACTTGACAAAACTAAATTAAATTGTCAGTTACAGCTTGTCAATGTTTTATCTACAGGTTATCAAAAAGTCTGTAGTGTTTAGAATATTTCCAAAAGTTACATATTGTCAATGTCTTATCTAGTCTATGAACTAGTGACTTCTTTTCTGGGAGTGTCATATTAATGTCATCGGATCATAAAGAACTTGACATCTTCAATATTTTTAGAAATTAATTATTAATCATATTTGTAATTGTCAATCTATATGATAAGGATAAAATTAATATTGGCATCGCCCTAACTTTTTAAACCAAACATAAGGTCATTTCAGGGAGGAGAGATTATTATTATGAATGTAATCTAACTGATAAAGTGAAATAATATCAAATGTGGCCAACCAAAGATAGCCGCATATACAATTAGGGTATGTTTGGTTTGGGGCTATCATTTATGCAGGCCGGAATCTTATATCCGGAATGTAAGATACTCGTGTTGGTTCACAAGTTTGAAAAAATTTCAGGAATGTTACATTCCGAAAAAGAGAATACTTTTTATCTAATTGCCCGGAATGTCAAACTCATGTTCTCCTTTGGTCAGGGATGGATTTAGGGGGGGGGGGGGGGGGGCGACCGCCCCCCTTGGACATTCAAATTCTCTTACCATATATGTAATATTTTCATAAAACTTTCATAATTTAATTAGATTCGCCCCCCTTAGCTTTTAATTTTCAAAGTTAGTATATAGTCTTACATAATGTAATACTTAATTGGAGATTTGAAAGAATAAACATCTAAAATAATTTACATAACTTAAACAAATAAACAATAGAGTAACTCGTTATTTAAGATTTAGGATACTTATTATATAAGAATTCCTAGTTTTGTAATGTTTAATTATCTTTATTAGATAACAAGTACTGGATTTTGTAAAACATATATCAAACAATATTAAATACCAGACACACTAATTACACAATTTTTAGATCACATGAAATGAATCCAAAATATAAATATTTATAGACATTAGATTACATAATTCATTTACTTCTTGGTTTCTAAAAATAATTTATTGCATGGATAATAAACTTTAAATTATTATAGAATTAATAAAAATATTAAAATATAATATGCGCCATATATACGTGTGTGTATGTGGTGCACATTATTCTAAAAATAACAATCTCATACATACTAGTATACTACTATTGTAATATTAAGAAAACTTCTCATGAGTCATGACTCACGAACACCCTCCTTGGTGGACAAAAATTACAATTCAATAACCGATTTATGAGGTTAAACAATGTAGAAGTTATTAAAAATGTATTGGTTGATGTCTTTGTCATCGTCTAAACTTAAAATGTATTAGATTTAAAAGCCGTTCGGGATGTGCATGTATTAATGTCATTTTTTGAATAAAAATAGCTGCATAGTCCCACAGTAGCGAAAAAATTTCGCCCCGCTACACTAGGGGAAAAAAATTCACCCCGCTACACTAACAAAAAAAAAAATCACCCCCTACACTAACGAAAAATTTCGCCCCCCTTGACTCAGAATCCTGGATCCGTCCCTGCCTTTGGTTATCTTAGATTCCTGGTTGATCATAAATCTTCTTCCAAAAATACCATCATCTGGTACTGGAAAGGCCAGCGTTGTCTTCAGCGGGTCAAGGAAAACCCCAACCGTTTCTCCTTCTGCTACTATGCCGATTGTGTTTGCTACTGTTTCAACTTGCTAGCTCGATTTGTATCTGATTTAATTTGGTTTCTTGATAGCAGAGTTGGTGGCTCGGATTTGTAGAATTGTCCTAGAGGTGAACTTGATAATGTCCATATGTCCGCTAAGGATGTTTTTACTTCGACTGTAATTTGTCCCAGACCAGTCCAGACCAGACCAGTTCAGACCAGACCAGACTAGACCGGACTTGGATAGTTATAAAAATACAAAGAAACCAGACCTTACCAGACCAGACCAGACCAGACCAGTTCAGACCAGACCAGACCAGATCAGACCAGACCAGCAAATTACAGTCCAAGTAAAAACATCCTAAGTAGTTATTTAATTCATTAAACATTTTAATTCAATAAAAAAATTAAATGGAGAGGAAAAATTAAATGTTCGGGAATATAAGTTTGTTATGTTAAGAGAAAATATGTAAAGGACATTGAAGTAATTCACCAAATATGTAATATAAGATATCATTCAACCAAATAGAGTAATATCACATTCCCGTAATCTTAACCAAACACAAATGAGATACGAATTGATAACATTCTCATAAATGTAACTATATCTAGGAATCTAACATTCTCCTGATAATCTAACATTGAGTTTTTTCCACTTTTAGTCCTCCGACTATTATGTCATTGACATTTTTGGTACTCGACTTTGATTTTTTCCATTTTTAGTCCTTGACTATTGCGCTAGAGACACTTTTGGTACCTGTCTTTGAAAATTTCCATATTTAGTCCTTCAACTTTCATAAAAGTGTCACTTTTGGTCCTTCAACTATTATAATAGTGACTTTTTAGTTCTCCACTTATTATGCCAAAATCATAATGGGAGGACTAAAAGTGTCAATTTGACAATACTCAGGGACTAAATGTGGGAAACCTGGAAGTCGGGGACTAAAAGTGTTTCTAGCACAATAGTCAAGGACTAAAAATGGAACAATTAGAACTCGAGCACCAAAAGTGTCATTGACATAATAGTCGGAGGACTAAAAGTGTCATCTAACATTCCTTGAACCAAACGGACCCTTAAGCTTATTTTGGATGATATAGTATTTGTTGCACATCACTTGAATATAAATATTAATCCTTACGAATTATTATTATGGTTTACTCCTGGTCTCCTATCATTTTAACTTCTTAAGATGATACACTAATATGGTATTAGAGTCTATGATAATTAATTGTTTGATTGTAAGAATGAAATGAATGTTTCGGGAATATGGTGAAGGCCCTTGTAGCTCCATTAACTTTTTATAATGAAATCTCAAATTGTAATAGTTCTTTACACACAGTACTAGGACTGTTGGGCCTATGAACCAATGTTCTATGTAAATATATTTTCTTCACATTATGGTGTGTTACAAGATGGACCCAAAAAATGTTCAGCCCTGGACTGGCCCGCTATTTTCTGAGTTTGGGTCAGTTACGGGTACCCGGGCGGTCCAGTTCCGGACCCGGACCAGTATTTTTTGGGAGGGTTTTACCAGATTTCAAGTTTAAAAAAAATTGGCCAGTCCAGGACCAGAACCACACAGTTTAGTCACCAAATAGGTCCTTGTCTTGAAAACGTGAACTGCTCTTGGGCAGACATGGCCGGTCCTAGTCTTGAAAACGGAAATTCCAGACTCATTCCGGTCCCAAACAATGTTGGACCCAGTTCCGGACCAGGTCCATCCCTATGTGTGACCAATGAATGTGAGGTTTTGTTTGATGATACTTGGTGAATGAAGATCATTTCCTAGTTACAATATGTTACTTCGAATGATAGGTAAACTTGCACATTGTAAATTTTTTAGAATAATATTACCTTGTAAATGTTTTTGTACCAATTAAGTATAAGAAAAGAAGAGAAATTAGAAAATAAAAAGACAATTTAAGCAAAAGATGTACAATGATTATGCGTTGTTGATAAATTACATACACTTCATCCATCGAATTGATGAACGTTAATCATCACATTTCTGGTTCATATTGGTTCATAGTTTTAGAATACAACAGAAATGGAATCATCTCATCTTGGTCAGTTGGTCGTTTACTTCGTATAAGCCACCAATCAATACCGTGAGTTAGAAATGAAGAGTTACAAACAGATACCTAAAGGCTAAAGCTATAGTTTCTCAAGAGGGAAAGAATGAAAACGGACTAAATCTGGAAATTCACATCACAATATATCCAAAACAAAGCTAACTGTACAAAAACGCATGTATAATTGTGGCAAGTAAAGTTGTAAATAAGCATAACAATGAAATAAAAAAGTATTCTTCATCATAATAACAAAGTACATGGAGCAATGGATCAAACCAAATGCTCACCACTTGGACCAAGGAGTTAACCATTTTCCTTTCCCATCTAACACTCCTCCAAAAAACATAAAAAGAAATAAAACAGGAAAGAGCAACAGCTACCACTATATGCTATATCCCATGGGCAAACGTTTCTTTGAACATCCTTCCACTATTACACAACGCTGCAGCAATCCATATCATCCATCATGTTTCTGCCCAGGTACTTTTAATCAGAATCATCATCGCCCTAAGCAAAGAACAAATATTCAATATATCATTATCACTTGTTAGTAAATACTACGTATTAGAGTAATGACAACCAAAGCCGTTATCATAAACTATTAAGGTATGGATCAAGTAGCTCACATCGTCACTGCCATCTTCATCGTCATCATCATCGTTGACCTCTGATTTTGACTTGTCAGATTCCTCCTCCTCTGAAGTAGCCTGACTCTGGGGATCACAGAAAAACAATTCGTAGTTTATATTGTTTATTAATCATATACTCTGTAATATAAAGGCTCCGGATAAAAGCTTTAGGGAAATGAACAATACCTGTTTGTTATCATACTCCTTCATTTTCTTCCCGTATTCCTTCTTCCTAGTCTCAGCGATGGCAATGTAGGGAGCTTTCTCCTGAAATATGTTTGACCACAAACGGATAAGATTTGGCAGCTGGTTTTTCGTATGAGAAAGCTCATATGATAATAATTAGAGTTTAACTTACAGCATCGGTCATGCTCTTCCATTTTGCCCCGCCGGCTTTACCCACCTGAGATTAAAACACTGAAATTATTACTTAAGCTTAACAAATATAATCCACACGGCAATAGGGATCTTATATACTCACTTCGGAAACAGACTTGTTGGCTGGATGCTTTTTCTTATAGGATACGCGAAAATCCTCCCTGTATTATACAAATTCATACAATTACAAGCTGTTAAACGGAGAACTACAACCAAATACCATCTGAAAGTAGCAATTATCAGTGAATTTTACATGAAGACGAAAAAAGCGCTGGGAGGCCTCTTCGGTTTGTTCGGGTCCTTGGCAGGTTTAGGTTTAGCAACTTTTTTCGTGCTTTTCGCCTTCACTGCGAGCCTGCAAAACCAGAGAATCGTCAATTTACTCAATGATTATCCATCCACACACAAAAAACTCAGAAAAGAAGTAAAATCACAGATCCGAACAGAAAACGAATAAAATAGATCGAGGAGACAATAAAACTCACTTGTTGTCAGCCTTCCCCTTGGATTTAGCACCTTTCATGGCGAAAACTGCAACGAAACAACAAAAACCTGTCAGTATGGTCGTGAATCGGCTGAAAACGGTACGGCTCGGGCGAGTCAGCGCCGCAAGGCAGCGAGTTTACCTCTATCTAGGGTTGGAGAATAGAGAGAGAGAGAGAGAGAGAGGAGCAATAAACGGAACGATAAGCTTCGTTGGCTTTGAGTGTGGGCTTTCGAGGGAGAGGGGGCGCGAGGGATATCGGGCGCTGCAAAGGACTGGAAAGAAATTTGTAAGAAGGATCAAAATAGACCTCCGAAGAAAAATGATAAATTGATCGTCTAAATACATGTACTAAAAAATCATCACATAAACATGTTTTCTTTTAAATGAACAAAACTAGATACAACAAAATGAGTGAATGTGACTAGGCGCTTTCTTCTCTCTTCTTGTAGAGAGTAGCGGCGGGTTCAGGAAAGTCGAATAAATTGGAAATGTTGTGAAGTCAGATGAAATCGGGGAGGACGGGTGTGGTGAGGAAGAGTTTTGGATAACGAATGTATACCAAGCGAGATGCAAGGGAATCCGACCAAAATCGTCATTGTGTGGAGGAAGCGGGAGATTTGGCTGTAGTGAAACAATGGAGATCGAGATTGTTGATCCAAAATGGGAAAGAGATGGGTTGGGACAGGTCTGATCTTCATGATTGATGAGGAGTGTGAAAGTTGGTTGTTAGAGCAAATTGTGCAAGTTAGCGGCTCAAGAAGGATATTATTCTATTATTTTCACTATGGATCTTAGATCAATATCACGCTTGAATGAATAGGGTTTCTCAGTTAGATGTATCAAGACTTTTGGAGCGAAAATATCTTCAAGACTCTCATGTGATCCGCAAAGCAATCTGCTCAATTCTGGACGATAACAACAATGATATGAGATCTCTTGCAAATTTTATGATTATTTTAATGTTGTGTATTAATATATCGGAGTTGGCCATTTTTAGCTCATAATTGTGATTTTTCATTTTTATTTTTTCTCTACTTTTTATTTCTCTTTCTTCCATGTTGGTTCGTATAGCTCCCACCCTTTTCTTATTCTTTTCCTAGTCTTCTTTGGTTCTTTTTTTTCTTTCTCCTCTTCTAGTCTATCTTGGAGGACGGATGAGCGCGGTTGTTACATTTCGAAAAGGGGTTGAAGAAATGGTCTAAGTGGTCACCTATCACTCCAACCACCTCTTGCGGCAGAGAAATAGTGTCCCAGCCTCCCAGAACTAAGCACAACCAAATAAATATTAACAGAGTTTTGAGCGCAATCTTCATTAATAAAGTTTATGTGTATAAATATTACATTTGTAAGACTTTTAAACTAACAAAACTACAATCCTAGTTATTATTCCTACGCGATATCACCTATACAGTCGAAAGAGATGCATACGTACAATAAAAATATAAACAAAGTAATAAGAATCAGAACCGATATTTGTACATGCTTTGGATAAGTAAACTAAGAAGTGCACATGTTTCGGATGGATAAGTCTTCATGCCATAATGTGTGTGTGTGTGCATGCGTGCGCGCATGCGTGCGCGCATATATGTACACACATGGCAAAAATATATCGCTAAGTATCCAAAGAAAAGCAACGAGTGGAAGCAGTGTCAATTCCATTGGCGGCTGAAAAAGAGCCGCCCGTAATCAAGAAAGGAATCTCTGTTGAAAACCATACCACCACTGAAAATTGTTGCAAAGAAAGGGGAGGGAGAGGGAGGGAGAGAGATCATATTTTAAGACCATTCATGTGTTTGGTTCACCTTTATAGAACAAATTTATTAAAGCAACTACACAATTTATGAATTAATAGAAAGGGGGAAGAGGAGGAGGAGAAAATTATATGATCTGTTTGATCTCTTTTTGGCTGTCAAATGTTCGAGGTCTTTTATCTTTGTATAAAGAGAATCCTCTCATGGTAAAAAAGGGGTTTGTTAACGGCAGACAGGTTAATTCTTTCAGCCTCTGAGTTACTAAGTTTCTTAGTCAAGTCATTAACGCTTACTCCTAGTTTTTCGTTTTCTAGGGCCAGCTTAGTGATCTTGTCATGTAACTGAGTTATTTTTACGTTTAGAAAAGATTGCTTTTTTAGTTATTTCATTAGAACATTAAGATTGTGTTATAATCTCCCTTTAAGCTCCTTAAGTAAATTGTTAGGATCATATTCAGAACATAATGATGAAGTGGAAGAATTGGAAGTACTTACATCGTCATCTGAACTTTTTGTCCTCGGCTAAAAGTGTAGCCACAGGTTCATTCTCAACTTCTTCCTTTTCTTCTTCAACCATGACCATCGGTGCCTGGTAGTTCTCTTCTTCGTCAAATGAGTCATCCATACAATGGTCGTTCTCGGCCATTAAAACACTTTTATTTTCATTGTCCTCCATGGCTAGCATCAGCATTTTCTTGTTCAATTGAGCTTTTTTGCTTATAATACTCAACATCCTTCCTTCTCTTTGGCAACATTCAAACCTTTATGAGATGTTCCGTCTTCCCAAAAATGAAACACTTGGGAGTTGAGAGCATCATCGGCATCCAGAGCTTTAGATGTATCAAATGGTCTTTCTTTTCGCTTGGTGCTGGTAGAGACTTGTGAAGTCTGTTAGTAGAGGAGTTCTTCTTCTTGAAGATCTGGTTGTTGAACCTAAAAGTTAGGAGTGACAAGCTCACAGCTGCCTTTGGAAGTCCATGAGTTCATCATCAGTATCATCATCAAAATCTACTTCACTTTCTCCAATCTCAGGAGTGATAACCTTCATTTTCCCTTTCTAGGTCTTGGAAGCTTATTTGGAGGGCCTTTCAAGCAAAATCGCTAAGGTGTCAGCCAGTTTGTCCATTCGCTTTACTTTCTCGTCAACAACACTCACAGAATTAGAAAAATCATTAGCATATTGGTCAAGTGTATTGTAGATCGCATTAATATCCAAATCTTTAGTGTGTCTGATGTGAAAACACAACTTCGTTCACTCAGGGGCAAAAGATGACAGGAATATCACATTCAACTCCGTGTTGGATTTATGAACGTTGATCTTCCTCATTTCGGTGATCAGTCTCAGAAAATGAATGTAGGTATCCTCTAGTGATTCTCCTAGTTTTGCTTTGAATGAGTCATAAGCAATGAATGTGTTTAACAATCCACACTTCCCCTTAATTCAAATTTTCCTCTACTCTTGAGATTTGACTCCAAGTTCTGCTCTAAACCTCCTGAACTTGTCCACTGGTAATGCCATTGTGAGCACATCTGAAACTTGTTCTTCACTGCTGCAGTAAATTAGAATCAGTTTCCCCTCAGACACCTTCTCCCTTAACAAGTGGTACTCAGGCTTAATATGTTTGGTTCTCCCATGTGAAACGGGATTCTGAGCTAAGTTTATGGCAGATTTATTGTCAACCAAGAGTTGAAATGCTTCTTGTGCTTCACCAGTTATCTCACTCAGCAATGCACTCAGCCATACCCCCTGACATGCTGCATAAGCAGCAGCTACATATTCAGCTTCACATGTGGATAATGAAACATTAGGCTGCTTCCTTGAGCTCCATGATATTGTAGATCCATTCAGCTTAAAAACATATCCACTTATACTATTTCTCTCAACTGTATCTCCCCTCCAGTCTGAATCGAAGAACCCTATCAAGCCTCTTGCATCAGACTTCACCTCTTTAGGAAACCAGATACCAAACTCTGCATTTCCTTTTAGATACCTTAATATCCTTTTAGCTGCAATATAGTGTGATTGCTTAGGATGTCGCATAAACGTGCTGACCAATCCTACCCTAAGAGAAATGTCAGTCTTGGTGTTGCACAAAAACCTTAGGATGTTGCATAAACCTGCTGACCAATCCTACCCTAAGAGAAATGTCAGTCCTGGTGTTGCACACAAACCTTAAGGATCCAATGATACTCCTAAACAACCTGGCAACCACCTCCCTCTCTTGATCACCCATATCCGGTTTCAGTTTGGGTTCCATTGGACTATTTGCATGATTGCAATTAAACATCTCTAATTTCTTTAGCATTCATTCACATACTTCTTCTTATGCATGAACACCCTATCATCATAGAAACAAAATTTTATCCCCATGAAATATGCTAGCTGTCCCAGATCTGTCATATCAAACTCATCTTTCATTTGAGTTTTGAATAGTTCAATCTGAGACCTAGAGTTACTTGCCACCAACAAGTCATCAACATATAAACAGATCACAACCACATTACCATCTGTTCTTTTGACATAAACCCCATGTCCATTAACACAAATCCTGAAACCCAACTTCTGCAGATATGCATCTATCTTCCTGTTCCAGACTCTTGGAGCTTGTTTTAAGCCATATAAGGCCTTCTTCAATCTAAGGACCTTATCTTCTGACCCCTTTACTACAAAACCTAGAGGTTGGGTTACATATACCTCTTACTCCAATTCCCCATTTAAGAAGGTAGATTTGACATCCAACTGAGCTACACTCCAGCTTTGATTGAATGCCAATGCAACTACCATTTATATGGTTTCTATTCTGGCCACTGGTTCAAATACTTCTGTGTAGTCCAGACGTTCCTTTTGTAAAAAAAAAAAAACTCACTACTAGCCTGGCTTTATGCTTGGAAACAGTACCATCAAGTTTGTATTTGATCTTGAAGATCCACTTCACACTGATGGGCCTTTTATTAGATGGTAAAGTGGCAAGCTTCCAGGTAGGGTTTTTTCAATGGATTTGATCTCTTCTATCATTGCCTCCTTCCATTCCTTCTGAGTTAAAGTTGATTCCCAATCAAGTGTTTCACATTCAGCTTGTAAACCCAAATGTAACAGTTCACCCATCTCACTGATTTCAGTATAATCATATACTTCATACCTAGAGAGCCTTGAGGATTATTTTCTAATCATATGTGGTCTCTGAACCAATGACTCTGTGTGACCCTCATCTCTTGCTCGATCATGACACTGCAAATTTGGCTCCAAATCTTCCTCAATAAGTCTGGTAATTGGTTTAGTTTGTGAATCACTAGAGCTCCAATCCCAACTTTGTGCTTCATCAAACATAACATTTTTGCTATATGCAAAGGTCTTATACACTACTGCAAGAATGACATACCACGTCACACATTTGACGTCGGTTTTAAAAGAACGGTCGTAGTAGGACACGAGAGAACTTTATAACGTCGGTTTTTTAAAAAACAGACGTTGTACGTTCTAAAAAAAACGCGGAATGGTGTGTTTTTGTATACTTATTACGTCTGTTTCTATATAACCGACTTAAAAAATACATTTGATAATCACTTACGGGTTTACTACGATGTCGGGACTCGGGAGTGGGGTTTAAATTAAAATTAGGGAATTAATCGCTAATTTTATAAAATTACACGAAGTATAAAGAATCGCCAAACCCTCGATCTGCTCATCTGCTGCGCTCGACGCATAGGCCTCTTCTCTCCGTGACTCTGCTTCGTCTTCCACCGTCTTCTCTCATCAGACGAAACTCGATCGTTGCTCTGCGAGAATTGGTAAGTCCTTCTATTCTCAAT